ACCTTTTCCCACCCTCACAGCGCTCTCGCTCTTTCTCTGCTCACAGCCCGGATGAGGATTCCTGTCAGAAGTTTGTGCCATTTATTGGGGTAAGGATTCGCTTTTCCATTTCGGATGTGTTACGATTGAGACATGTCTGCTGTGTTTCACTCTGAAGCTTGTTTGCTCTTGCAGGTTGTGAAAGTTGGAATAGTGGAGCAAAGCCTTTCGACCTCAAGTAGGAAACTTATTTTATTTTAGATTTTATCATAGTTGGGACTTTGATGTGTGTAAATGTTTAAGCTGGTCAACTCTTTTATTATTTTCATGATGAGAGTTAATGTACTTATTTTATTTTATTTCTCACAGTGGATTCTGATGATGCGATGGGAGGCAATACCAGCATCCTGTCTTCCCCACCGCCCCCATCGGCTGGCCCGTATGGGAAGGAGATCGGGAGTACCCCACCGCAGTCTCCCTCTGTGTCCACTGCCCTGTCAGGAGCTGGGTACAGAGCATCATGTTTTTACTGGCTTGTATTAATTTTTTTTGTTTTGTTTTAACCTTGCCTTCTTCCCTTGTAGCTCTCCGTGTTCAGGCAGTGAGGTTATGGGGCTCCAGGTGGACTACTGGACCTGGCAAGGCTCAGAGAAGAAGAAAGAGGGCGAGAAGAGGGACGTGGGATTGAAGAACACCCTCAAGTGCAACTTCCGGTCGCTACAAGTCAGCCGCCTGCCCTGCGGAGGGGAACTCACTCCTCCACCCAGCATGGCCATGACTGTGGTCACGAAGGAAAAGAACAAGAAAGGTACCTATCGGTATTTAGCAGCTCTGAATTTGGCGATTTAGGTTGGACTTTAGGCTTTTTCAAAGGCAAAGGCTAACCAATTTAGTTAGTCATCTGTCTCACCAGCTCTTGATGGTCTTGGCTTGCTGTGTTTTGAAAAAAAAGATTTGAGCTTAGACACTTTTTAGATTTTATTCATCTGCAGTTTTGCATCAGATTGCTCTAAGAGCCAAAAATGGACTATGTTGTAGGATAATTCACTTTATTTTAGAGATGATGCTTGTAATTTACTTCGTTCACTTTGGACAAAGCCTCCCTGTTTTCCAAATTGAGTGTGACGAACCAATGTTTGTTGCAGGTGAGATGCTGCCCAACAAGTCCAATGAAATACACTCTTTTTAAAAATAGGTTCCAGGATGAGTTTTGAAAGGAAAAAATGCAGCTCTGTTTTCTTTAATTTTCTCATCCATTAATTACCTATTCTTCTATTTGACCATGCATTAATCCATTAGTCCTTCTTGTTTATGGTTTTTGCTGCTTATGTATTCAAAGCCTGACCTCTGAAGAAATATCTGCCATACATTTGTGATGTATTGTGGTTTTTGTGCCTTAAAAATCTACCTAAGGAACAAGTTTAGAAATAGGAGACATACTGTATTTGCGTAATAAACATGAGTAGGAACCCTTTCTAAAAATAAAACCAAATTGATGCAATTGTATCAAGTTTTTTTCCTCCTCAGGCATCCAAACATGCTGAAATATTCCTGAGATTTTGATGTGTTTTTATTTTGTCATGTCAGTAAATTAAGTTTCCAGGCTTGCGAGAGAATTTTTTTTTTAAGTAAACCTGTTCTGACTGAGCTCATGTTTTCTGCCTTCTCAGTGATTTTCCTTAGCAAAAAGCCCAAGGAGAAAGAGCTGGACTCTAAGAGCCAAGTGATCGATGGTATTAGCAGGTTGATCTGCACAGCCAAGCACCAACACACAATGCTGAGAGGTAAGACGCTCTAGGCTGCACTGCCATCTGCTGTTTATTTTACGCAATAACAGCAGATTGACTTCAAGTCTTCTGCATGTCCCATGCATTTGTCTCACAACTGTTTGGTCCTTTTAGTCAACATTGATGGTGTGGAGTGGAATGATGTGAAGTTTTTCCAGCTCGCCGCCCAGTGGCCAACGCATGTCAAGCACTTCCCGGTGGGAATCTTTGGTTACACGAAGCCGGTGTGACCCCGCCCGGCCACCGTCCGGTCAAACGCCAGACTCTCAGCTGCACTTGTCTTACCCAGAGAGCAAAGAGAATTATATACAAACCCAACAGGGCCCCCAGAAGTAAAAAGTAAAAGTTTTCCTGTGGAAATCTTACAGACTAAAAACCACGTGTTCAGTATACAATTCATGTTGTTTGTTTGATGTTGTTGGGTGTTGCTTTTTTGTTTTTGTTTTTTTTTTTTTTTCTTTCTTTCTTTTTTACTACGAAAAGAACAATTTTGTAAGATTTGTGGATATTTTGAGGTTTTTGACAATTTGCCACATTTCAGTAATGGCAGCTGTGTTTGCACTTTGATTTTTGTTGAACATTTTATTATTTCTGTGAAATCCTACATTTATTGTTACTCTATAGACAATGGAGGAGTGTGATGGTGACGTGCAGTGATGTGTGTGAGATTGTTACAGACCGTGTTTGTGTTTGCTGTTGAAAGTTGGAATATTGCTGTGAATCTAGATGGAATCCTACTCTTCTAACTTGGCTTTCTTACGCGTCCCTTTAATTTTTTGAAAAACTTTTGTAGGAAGGAGTGCAAAGTTCTTGTTGCCTTGTTGCTTTGAAGCACACTAAAGCAAATCAAGAGAAAAAATAGACATTGGAAGGTAGCTATGATGAATGTAGCTATGTTATATTTGTAACCTGTCAGCATTGGTGACTGCATTCAGACTGCACAGTAACAACCACTTAGAAGCAGGGTAAACAAAATGTTCTTTCAACCCTGTACAGCTGAACGCCAAATTTAGTTGCAGCTGAATGACTTGTCTTGCAGTTTCCAGACAGGTGTTTCAATTTAGCTTTTTCTGGCACGTTTCAGGATGTAAAAGCATTTATCTAGTAATCATAACCACCCTGTGTTCAACTAGATATACAAAGTTAACCTGAAGTACTTTAGCTAATGCTGGACTGTGCAGTGATGTGCCAAAGTTGGTTTTTACGGACTGTTCACAAGAGCTCTTTCTTTAGCCAAAATTCAGATTGTGTGATTCTCAAAACTGAAACTGTGCATTTAATGCGTCTGTGGTCCCTGTGGAGATCAGTATTAATATTACTGAATTACTAATTTAGAAGTGTTAACACGCCATATTTGGTCAAATGTCAACTTAGATGAGTGCATGTCCTAACCAAGCAGTTACAGTTGTGTTTTTGAGTACAGCTCCAACGTGGCTGGTCGGAGAAAAACTGGAAGGATCTGGGGTTTAGTGTTGAGCGAGGGAGAGTTATACAGTGCCAAGTATTCAGAAGCTGACTTTTTCGCATTACGCTACAATACAACCACAAACTTCAATGTATTTTAATGGAAGCCGTCCCAGATTCCTTTGCTTTTAGTTATTTGATAAGATCTAATTCCTGGCTAAATGGGTCATCTTGCTGGATTGTGAGTCTCTGCTACCTTGTAATAGCTTGACCTTTACCAGCCTTCCTCTCCCAATGCTGCTACCACCAGGTGCCATAATGGGGATGATGTGCTCACAGTAAGCCAAAACAGTCATTTTGAATCTTCTTCCATATTTCCCACATCCCCTACAAGAGTGCTCTGTTGTGCACTCTTGCATAAATGTCGATTTTCTGGAATGCATGACAAAATCTGAACATATTTTTCCACATGAGCTCCAGCTCGTCCAATTACATTGCATTTTATTTAGGGAGGTTTGAATACAAATAAATACCATATCTCTCGCATAGATGCACTGAAGTTTGTAGCTGCAACATGGCAAAAATGTGATCAAGTTCATATGAAGCACTGTAAATAAGAGTTAGCTTTTCTGACTTGAACAATGATTTGACTTTAGTTTTGAGCGCTGTGCAAGTGTTCAGTTGCTTTTTAAAGTTATGATAATCCTACAAAGTTTGGCCAGATGTCCAAGTCCACTGCCTGTGTGTCTGCATTGGTGTGCCACAACATTCGATGGTACTCCCTGAATAGCGTTACGTGAAAACTTTCGCAATAGAAAAACCTTTCTTTGGACAAAGGGCCTTCTGTTTGAGTTTGCTTTTTGTACAGCGAAGACTTTAAAGCTTTGATAGACTGGCTTTTTTTTTTTTTAATTACTGTATATAAATATTTACAGGATATACTATTGTGACTCACAAACCTCCGCACCCCCCTCCACTAAATTGAAAGCACAAATAGTGAACTTTTATGTCTTGACATGAATGGCAAATATATTTCCAGAACTCCTAACTATGAAGTCGACAATGCAAACACTGTTATTTCACATTTCCCTCACTTTGTAATGCACTTTCATGTGGTTTTATACGCATAGTAACTCTAATTAGGACATACTTTAAAGTGTTTCAGATGATATATTTGAAATGGAAACCACTACCTATATGTATAGTCAAAAGTAGTTTTCTTTGTGTTGATGGGCTAAAGTTCCCTGATGTTTTGCAACTTAATTTTACCACCCATGAAGCCCCGGTCGTCTGTCTCTCCCTGTAACGTGCTTATTGAAGGAGTCGGTACTGACTCTCAGTCAGAAATCTCAACACTTCCTCACAGTTTTGCTGTTTTGAGGGAACCAGCCACTTGGGTTAATCCCTTTCTAATACATATAAACAAATTATAATCCTATTTTAGTGTATTTAACCTCAGTTTTTCCCTCCTGATTCTAGAGGTAGCATATGGGTGTTTTACAAGGCTGGATCAATGAGCAGGCATGCCCACTCTATTACCACAACTCGGCAAAAGAAACTTCAAACATCAGTGTTACGCTTACAAAACAGGTCAGAATCCAGTTAAGCCATGCCATCTCATTGCTCCTGGTACTTGAACTGCCACCCAGTGTCTTTGCACAAACCCTATTTTAGATGACATGACAGTATTTTTAAATTTACCACTAAAAAAATATGGGTTACTCTGCATGTTTTATTATAGTTGTAAATATGTTTTGGATTTTTATATTGTTTATTTTTCTTTCCATGCTCTCACAAGCAGTTGTGTTTAATAAAATTTTTAATCTTCCATACAAGTAGCTTGTCTTTATTTGTATTGTTTATTTTTTCCCCAGACCAAATATAAACAAAGTAATTTTGTGTTAGTTAGCGGAGATCAATGGCAGGTTAATGTAGCTCTTCATCTGAGGCAGCGGTTTAATCTTCCGTCCCGCCCAGCCTCCTTTCCTCTTCCACAAGCCGCTGGACGGGCGGATCCCCAGCCAGCGGTTGCGACCGGCTTTGCCGATGATCCGTTTGTTGTGGTCGATGTTGGACACACGGCCCACCGTTACCATACAGGTTTCCAACACCTGTGTGTACCAAAATAGCATCGTTCAGTTCACATCACAGCAGGAAATTGTTCTAAGTTTATGTAAAAAGATGGATGTAGTTCCACCTCACCTGAACCTGCTGCTTTGAAGGGAGCTGAACGATTGCAGTCCCGTTTACTTTACGCAGCAAAACACCAGTTGTGCCTGAAAACCACATGAAACAAATATAAATTAAAATACTTTGAAGATAACATCATTAATAGTTTGGCTAGCACAAAGAGCTTCTACCTTCTAGTAACCTACCAGCTCCTTTCTGAAACATATTACCCATTAGTTCTGGGTTATTAATCAAAACCCAGAACTGTTTTGTAACCCAATAGTTACTTTCTGGAACTTTGCAAAAGTTTTTAAGTTTGCCAGAAATCTAATTTTAATTTCCCAGAATATTTATGGACTTTGATAAAACCTTTCCTGAACTTTCATTAAACTTTACAGTTAAAAAATGAAACTATCAGAAAGTTATGGTTATTTTCTAGGGCTTTCTTTGAACCAAATTGTTCCTCTTTGTATGTTAATTGTAAATTTCAATTAACATTCATAGAACTCTGGTGAACTTAATTGAACTTTCATGAAGTTTTTTCATTACAATCATGAAATATAATGGTTACTTCCTTAAACTTTAGAACAGTTATTTTCCCAGAAAACCTTTTGAACTTGACGGTTGTATTTTGATTAATTTTCCCAGAACTTTATCTGAGGTTCTTTGGGCATAAATGTTACTTTCTGTAACTTGATTTTTATTTCAAAAAGTCATCAAACCTTATGGTACTAGAAATGCAATTGTTACTTTTTCAATTTTCCCAGAACCTTTGAGGAACTTAAATGTTACTTCACCAGCTTTCTCAGAATTCAATTAATGGATTATTATTTCCAAATATTAACCATGTCAGATTTTGGGGCCTGGGTTACTTTCCTTGAACTTGGATAACTCTTCTAAAAAGTATCTGGGAATAGACAGGTTATATTATACAGTGCTACTAAAATGTATCACAAATTATACAGTACCTGCAGCACGTATGAACTGCGATCCTTTTCCTGGCTGAATCTCCAGGTTGTTCACTAGTGTCCCCACAGGAAGAGCCCCCAGTGGGTAAGCATCCCCTTCATTTGCAGACACTGCAAAGAGTTTCCGAAACGTTATTACCTGATCTCAGCCAAATGTCATCAACTATGTCAAGAATCTGAGAGGATGTGGTTCAGACCTGCCATGCGTCCAATGACACCAGATGTTTTAATGATGTCTCCAGCCTGCATTTTCTCTGTTGCAATGATCCATCTTTTGCGGTTGCCTCCTGCTATCAGAGCGATGTCAGCAGACCTTTACACAAAAACAGAAAAATACGTATAATTCATCTCTTTTTCTTTAAGCAGAAATTCAATGTGAGGAAATGATCTCACCTGCATGGATCGTAGCGTACCTGGACAACCTTCTCTTCAAAAGGCTGACCTTCTTTGTTGGGTTCATAGCGTAATCGCTGGAAGTCTACCCACCGGTATCTCTGTTTGTGGCCTCCACCAATGCCCCGTGTTCGAATCTTTCCTGTAAATCAATGATCAGAAAGAAACACAAAAACCTAAATAATGGAATAATGCAGGCCTGCTAGCACAGGCTGATATGAGGAATAGTTCAGACATTTGACAAGAAACTGTCAATATCTACAACAAACAACAAACAGATCACAGTGCTTCAGAATTTGTTTTCTTGGTCAAGGTAAGTCTTTCAAATCTCCTGGCAGTTTTGTTGTTTTTTGTTGAATAATTACAACAGAATGCTCACAACAGTAATGATCATGTTTTTAGAAAGATTGTTTACTAGTGATTAGTTTGGAAACTATATTTTTTTTTCATTTTCCACAAATGTCTATACACCAGAAACATAAATATATTGAAGTTTATAGCAAGAAAAGATTCAGTTATGCTTTTTTTTGAAAGCCAACAATACAAAATAAGGGTGTTTTTTAAAAAATGACAAATTTTCTGTAGTAGATTTAGTAATAGTTTTTAAAATGTCATGTAACATTTGTGGCTCTAAAGAACCTATTTAGCTGGAATGAGGGAAAAAATTGTTCTTTGGATTGTAAATGTTGCAGATCCCCATCCTACACCAAAACATAAGCACTGTAAAGATAACTTTAACATCCTATTTTATTAATCACCTGAATGCTAAAAAATAACAAGAGGGAATAAACTAGAGAGAGAACATGAAGGTGAAGATGACATCATTCTCACCTGTGTGATCTCTCCCTCCAGTCTTTTTCATCCCCATTGGCCTTGTGGTGTATTTATCCATCTGCTTCCAGTACGTCCTGTTCTGCTTCAGAGAGGCTGTGGTCAGGAAGCCTCTGCACTGGCTGACTGTACTGGGCACCAGAGTTCCCAGCTTCAGCTGAGCCACCGGCGCCTTACAAACAAAAAAGGAGATGCACAGCTCGCTTGGTTGCAAGTTAACTGTGGATGCAAAAGGGAAGGAGTATTTATTTACCTGTGAAGAGAGCAGAGCAGGCTGGGAGAGAGTCAGAGAGCGCAGAGCTCGGGTCAAACATGACAACGCCATGACAGCTGCAAAAAGAAACAAAAGAGAGAAGGAACGTGTGTTCAATCACAAACCTCATTAAAATACATCAATATTCCCATAAACACGATCCTAAATCAGGTTTTCAAGGCTGTAATTATATAATATTACAAGAACGTTTAAAACAACTAATATTTTTAACTAATCAGTAATGGCAATAAATTTTATTACGACATGGACTACACGAACACTGACGAATTAGCAGCTTACCGACACTGATTAGACCGACTTCCGCTCGCTTTCTGCTGTTTTGTTTTTGGATTTCTCCGAGATTTTAAGTTAAGTTCCACACATAACCCAAAAACAAGCTCAACAACCAGCCTATGTTTTTAATCTTTTTAATTATTCCATCCCAAACTTCTGATCGGCGTCCTTCACAGTCCTGCACGCGATGTCCCGCACTGATGACGTAAGCAAAAGCGCCGAAGAACGTAACGTTCTGTTTTTAAGATATTTAGCTGAACTGTTGACACAAATCCATGTCGCTCTCTATTCAGCCAGGCAAAAATATTCTTTATTACATCAAGAATTAGGTTATTATAATTCTGTAGTTTGTTAATGAGGCGTTGGGTCGGCTCCTTGCTCGTCAGCCGGGGGGTGACTCGGGCAGAGATGACTAAGAAGCGAAATGAGAGGAGCTCCTCTCTTAAATGGAGACTACAGGAGGCATCCAGAGCGATCTGAACCGACTACTTCATTCATCGCTGACAACCTAAAAACAACGATGAAATAGGTCTTACAATGACAGGAAATAATCATTGAGAAGGCCGGGTATATTCTGATACGTGAAGCAATGACTACTTTGTAGATTTGCTGTTTATTTATTTTAGATTTTAATGGAGTGGACAATACATTTCCTATCATATATTTTCACTAACTTCGCTAAAATCATTCTACAGCGCAATGATACCCTGACTGTTTCACTATTTTTAAATAGTTTGCTCACCGTTTATCACCCGGCTTCCCCTGCTGGGTGATAAATGGTGCACATCCACTCTCTGAACGCTGCAAAATTCCCATTCCCCCACGAGGGGGCAGTCTTGCTCTGTCGCAGCATGAAGGTGTGTGCCTCAGACCTTCAGGATCGCAAAAATAAAACGTTTTATTTTTGATCAATACTGAGTCTGTGAGCGCAGATCTTTTTATTCTGATCTTAGCTACATATTAGCCACAGAAAAAGCTCCAAAACTGATTAACTGTACAAGATGATATGGATTTTATTCTGTCATTATAAGATTGGGAACATTGATAAACAATTCAGATAACTGTTTTTCTTTATTTATATCCGTACTAAATATTGTATGTAAGATTATATCAAGTACAATATCGTTAAAAGTGCTATTACAGTATGGATAAAATGTTACATTTATTTGTGTTTAAATTGTCCAGCAGTGCTCTTGAGGTTTATAAACAGGTGAAATATCTTAGTCTTCATACTGATCAAATGAAGTCTGACTCCCTCCTCAGATTTTTGAACAAGATTTTGATATCAGAATTTTTACTTTTTAGGCAGAATTCAGACTTTAATCAACATCATTGAAAGTCAATTAATGTCGACATGGAAAAAAATCGTAGTTTTAATGCACAACTCACATTTGTGTTATTGAAGCTAATTACTTCCAGATGACTATTTTCACTAACATTAGAATTTTGAGATTAGAACTAGAATTTCCTAAAATGTAATTGAAATTTTTCTTTCAATTGATGTAATTGTAAATTCTGACTTTTTTTCTCATAAATCTTTTTATTTTATTTTATTTTATTTTATCTTATTTTACCAGCAGTGGAGCCTCTGTTGAATGACTTTCCACAGTTTCAGGGCTGAAAACAAGACATGACGTCACTGCAAGCAACAAGAGCCGCAGAGGCTTGTGGGAGATTTTCGCTGCGTTGGAGACATTTTGGATCTGCAAAGGGGCTGAGCTCGCCGTCAGTCCCAGCTCTCGGTAAGTGAAAAGCGGACAATATGACGACGGAAATCCAACTCTTGGGTGGTGTTTGTTTCAGGGAGTTTTTGAGTAGCGTTCCTGAAAGCCATGTTGTGCATAAATGGTCGACCTGACGCTGGAAACAGCTGGAAGTCGCAGTAAATAGCCAGGGAGTGGTGAAGATAGCCACCGGTTAGCCAACCAGCGGAGCAGCAAACCGCATCTGATGACTTTAGTCTGTCAAGTTTGCTGTAAGAACACAATTATTCGCAAAGAAAAAAAAATAAAATAAAACTTACGTTTTCAAAGCAAACTACGCGTGTATTACGGCATTTGACATGGGAAGAAGATGGTTAAACGTAGAAAAATCAAACCACATTTGTGAGCCACGACGCTTTATATTGTTTTTTTAGTCCAGAGTTGTGTTTGAGTCGGATTATAGTTTAGTGTTTCCACTTTAATGCGATTTTAAATATTCAAAAATACTTTTTTGCCACGTCAGTGTCTCGCGGACTAGTAAATATGTAATTACCTCGACATAACATAAAACAATAAACATAATGAGGTGCAGTTGTCACTCATTTCATAAAAGTAGAGGCTGATGTTGGGTCCAGGTGTTTATTGGTGGCGGACTGCGATCGGACATGTTTAAAGGTAAAGTCAGTGGGAGTGATGGATGACTGTGGATGGTGGCACTTCTTGCTCTGCCACACCCTCCTGTATGCCTGTCTCTCCTTTGTGTCTGGCAGTGGTACCGATTATACTGGATCAATGTTTGTCCGAGAACTAGAGGGAAATGATGACGTCAGATTGTCTGGTAATTCATTTTTATGAAGACACACAAGTTTTTTGCACTCACTCTCTTCTTCGTGTCTTGGTGTTTAAATGGAGAACCATAAAGAAAAATCATTTATTATTTAAATGAGAGCATAATAGCGTGCCATAAATCACTCTCTATTGGCATTTTGAATATTGAAACGTGAGATTTTTGCTCCACATTTACAGCTTTTTAGCATGTGCTTTGATTTTCTGTAGAAGCTTTAAAAGAGATGTGATGCTTAAATCGAGATGAGTTTGTACATTTTTCATTTTGCTTTGATTTTGAACTTGCTAGATGCTTAAAAACACACAAAAAAGCGTAATCTGTGAGCCGCATCACTAAGTTGGTATAAAATTGTGTTTGTGGTGATTATATAGAGATGAGGACAACTGATTGATGCGGGCAATAAGCTAATTGTATAAACACCAATAATGTGTGCAGAGATGAAACTATGGATGGTCTCGTCCTATTTTTGCTGCAATAACATAGAAAATCTTATGATAGTAATATCCGTTGTGATAAATAAATTTTTTTTTACGACAATTAATCAACTTGATAATTAATTTGGGAAAATTTCTCCCTCAATCGGGATCAGGTAGTCAAATGACGCAAATCTGAAGTCAAATTAATCAGAAGTTTTGATTTTCAGTCAACTTTGATGCATTTTTTAAATTTAACAAAAGTCACTCACTGTAAAGGTTTAGGGATATATGCTTAGATGGAAAAATAGGGATAATCTTGTCTTAATGAAATCTGCAACATATTTCTTTCTTTAATGATTTGTTAGTTTGTGAAAAGAAAATCGCCATAAACTGGTCACATCTAATAGAATACTAGAAATTGGTGTCAGCCAGCTGTACACTTGTACTATTAAACATTGCATAATAATTTAAGCCGGTTATATTTTGACGTTTTTGTTAACAGAACTCATATATTGTACAAAATATTCCTAAAATCTTGTGTAGAAACTCTCATATTTCTTTTAATTTTTTGTGCTGTGTTATTGCATGACCTTTGAACACTCAAGTGGAGTCATCAAAGCGATCCATAACATTTAGTGTTGCATTGCCAGTTGTTACGATATGAATTTGTGGATGTTGTTTACGGCATATGGGTTGTAAAAGCGGATTCCTGCTATGCTTACAGGAGTAAAATGGCTGAAAATAAGCATTTTTTTCCACCGTAATAGAGTAAACGCTGTGAAGTTTTGCTCTTGCCTGGGCTGTTTGGTGTCATCGAGGTTATTCCATAATGTCTGAGCATGGTGGAGAGCTGCATGGCTCCCTCCCCCACCCAACCTGCTCCTCTGCGCTCGTCTGTTTTCCTCCTACTGAGGGCGGGCTGGCTCCTAACGCACACCCTGAGCTGATGCTGCTCGTTCTGATGAAGCAGTGGGAAGGTCACAGTCATCCTGCAGGCAGCTCGCTTTCTCCTCCTCCCTCTTCCTCTGCAGCATCATCATTCAGCCCCTCTCATCACTGTCTCGTTTCCTTCCCATTTGTGTGAGTTTCATGCAGATTTTTTTCCGTCTTGTAGTGAGATTCATTGAATTTTTGCAGGAGTAAGGGGCAGAATTTTCTCACCATTTCTTCAGTCTGCAGATGAGGCCTCCACCAGTGAGACAAAGGTTAGTTCGTATATGTTTTAGTGAAAGCAATTCAGACTACATTATTTCCAACTCTGATGGGGATTTTTGTCTGAAATATTTTATTATTATGGATTAAGGTTGCAAGTGTAAAAATAAAAGGAAGTTTGTGAAGAATTAGACAGAATATTCCCTCTGCTGTAAAGTGCATCAACATTTGCTTGGCACCATGTTTCATTCTGTGCTGTTTGCATGTTGAAAATGCTTGTCAGTTAGCTTTGAGCATAAGTGCTCCAGCAGCATTTCCGGTCAGTTTCTAAAGATGGATGGCGGATTGAGTTTCTCATTTCAAACTAGAGGTCAGGAGAGTAAAAGGTTGAAAAACAAAACTAGGATTTTTCTTGGCTGATTTTAGCAGCTATTTTTTCTCCATTCCTTCTTATTTCTTGATTCTTGAATTCTTCAAGTTCTCCTTCAGATTTGATTCTTCAAGTCATCCTTTAGATTCATCTGTTCTTAATAATGGACAAATCAACAGCAGCCTCTTTAATGTACAAAGATTGTAGCTTTTGGACTTTGTCTTTAAAGTCTTGGCAAACATTAACTTCCTCGCTTTGAGTAGAGGAAGTGTTTGGAACAGGTGTTTGGAGTGTTTTTGCCTGGATGAAAGCATACGTCTTTATGAGTTAATATGCGTCTCTGGTTAGACGATACTTTTATCCATACAGGTGCCTGACAGTCAGGCTAACACTCGGGAGTTGCTCTAAAGAGTAACAAGCTGTGTGATCTTGATCATTCAAAGGGAAGCGTTCAGAGAAGTTGGAGCTTTGAAGACAGATCTAATAAGAGAGACGCTAGGATCATGTTATCTGTTTTGACTTTACTTTAAAGTCAATATGACGAACGCAGCTGGAAGCAATGAATGCTCTGTTATTTATTTCACTATGCAAACCCAGGTTAATCTTGATTCTTTTTGAAGGATTTGCATAAAGAAATGAGGCTGTCGGCTGATTCTGCTCTGCATATTTTTAATAAGTCAGTTCATAAATTCTTTTTTATTTGGGCGCAGCTCGCTGTGAATAT